CCAGCTGTCATGGCAAGCTGTCTTCATTTGTCTCTGCATGCTGCTCTCTTCCTGTCCCGGCGCTGCAGCTGGGACTTGTAGGACTGCAGGAATGAATGAAGTCGTGTAATATGTTTAATCCTCTTTTCCAACTTGATTTTGGATTTCAGTACAAGAAACTTTATTTCTACAATGAACATAGAAATCTCCATGAATACCACAACTACTACTAGTAGTAGTAGTAGTGGTAGTAATAGAAGTGGTAGTAGTGGTAGTATTCATCCTTCCATCCGGTATCGGGACAGGCTGGTCCATGCAGGAGTAGTATTCTCATTACTGACATTTATTTGTTTGTGACGTAGAAGGAACACTTCCACACGCAGCTTACTTCTCATTCACCATCTCATACTTTAGTGGGGGGGGGCTTACAGTCATAATCCAGCCCTGCACACACACACACACACACACACACACACACACACCCGATGGAAGCCTACGGCTCTGAGGCGGGGTAGAAGGACTGGGGTTTTCCTGAGTTTGACTTCAGCAGAACCTGATGAACTCGTGCCGCGGTGGCCTCCCCGCCACCGCCGTCCTCACCGCTGCACGTACGATATATAAACATCTGCATCCGTGGCTTTCTTATCTCCTGCCTGCGCCTCTGTGGTTTTTGTGTGAAACCTCCGTGGAGTGGCCTTGCCATGCCTGGTTTCCTCTGCTCGTACCTCCACCACAGGAATAAGCTTAAGAATGTCTTTGACACGTATCTCTCAGACGCTGCTTTTGTTTGCTGACAGCGGCGTTTGTGTGAGCAGACAAGCCACCACTAGCCACAGCTGTTGGCAGCAAACACTGGCCTTTTTAAAAGCAGCAACAAAATCACGTCCTCGTACACGGAGGACGTGATTTATGTGACATGTGGACTTGTTCGGGGGCCCATGGACCCGTTGTTTTTCTACAGTATCTGAACACTTGTGAAAGCGTCAGCATCAACAAACCACCCACATGCTGTGTCTTAGTTTATGTTGGTCTTTTCAGAGGACCTTCTGGAATAAGGAGCTGTTGTTCTGTGATTCTGTTTCTCCAGGTGGGACCAGATGGAGAGCTCGGAGGAAGGATAGATGGATCATTTTGGTCGTATCAGCAAAGGCCAAGGTTAGTCATCAATCTTCTAGTCTTTTGTGGTCCAACCTGCTGTGGCTCTGAGCCGGCTCATGGCTGTTGGTCAGCTTTAGCGAGCCTGCTAAACACGCTCAAACATCAGGAGACTTGCTGGAATTCTGAACATTTGTAGAATGCTCATCGCTGACCTTCCTGGTTTGAGCGAGTAGTTACAAAAGTAGTAGTAGCAGACACTGCTGTAGTAAAGCTCACAGCGTTTGTCTGAGTGCTTTATTCAGGTTCACTCAGCCTGAAGGGCCTACTGAACTGCAGCCTTCTTCTCAGCAGTCTCTGGTAGCTATTGGACATGATATCCCAGCGCCTGCTGACTACAGCGCAGCAGATAAGAGACGTGTGGCTGGAGCCGAGATGGAAACAGAGCTTTAAATAAAACCTTCTCAGCTGACTTCCAGCAGAACCGTTCGAGTTTATCAGAAGGTTACAGCTCTGATTATAGCAGACGTGTCTCACAGATCGACAGGCGGATTGGTTCGGCGTCTGCAGTGATGCGGACGCTGAGCCGATCTGTCGTGGTGAAGAGGGAGCTGAGCCAGAAAGCCAGGCTCTCGATTTACCGGTCGATCTACGTCCCAATCCTCACCTATGGTCATGAGCTTTGGGTAATGACCGAAAGAACGAGATCGCGGATACAAGCGGCCGAAATGAGTTTCCTCCGTAGGGTGGCCGGGCTCAGCCTTAGAGATAGGGTGAGGAGCTCGGTCATCCGGGAGGGGCTCGGAGTAGAACCGCTGCTCCTCCGGATCGAAAGGAGTCAGTTGAGGTGGTTTGGGCATCTGGTCAGGATGCCTCCTGGACGCCTCCCCGGGGAGGTGTTTCGGGCATGTCCTGCCGGCAGGAGGCCCCCGGGTCGACCCAGGACACGTTGGAGAGGTTACATCTCCAATCTGGTCCGGGAACGCCTTGGGGTCCTGCCGGAGGAGCTGGTGGAGGTGGCCGGGGAGAGGACGGTCTGGAGCTCCCTAGTTGGGATGCTGCCTCCGCGACCCGTATAAGCGGAGGAAGACGATGACGAAGTGTCTCACACACACACACACACACACACACACACACACACACACACACACACACACACACACACACACACACACACACACCTACTTTTGTCTCATAGGCGATCAAATGAAAACCAGGAGACTGATTAGATGAGGCGTGTCCTTCAGATGTCCTCATGTGCTCTGTGTGTGTAGGTGCTGCTGTGGGTGCTCGTCTCTCTGCTGCCCCTGGTGGACGGCGCTCAGATGACAGCTGTGGCTGTGGGACCAGAACCGGGCCATCCTGTGGGTTCGCAGGGAGGACAGGAGGAGAGGGACTTTCCTGTGGCAGTGCCAGACGTGATGGAGGACAAGGAGCAGGAAGACGACAGCGACCCTGACTCCGCGTGGCATGCTCTGTATGGTACTGAGATGCCACACCAGAACCAGAACCACGTGAGGGTTGAGGTTCTGGAGCAAAGCTGATGATTGTTTTTGTCGTTCTGTGGTTTCAGAGCCTTTTGTGATGGATGAGATGGATGACCACCTCAGCATCCGCTGGGCCGGCCGCTCCCCTCGATCCTCTGACCCCAGCGAGCCTCAGCCTAAAGGATCTCAGAAGAAAAGGAAGAAAAGGAAGAAGAAGGAAAAGGAGGAAGAGGCCGGGGAAGGAGACAGGCGGGCTAAAGGAAGAAGCAGGTTCTCCAAACAGAGCAGCAGGGACTGTCGTGTGGAGAAGAAAGAGATGAAGGTTCGGGACTTGGGCCTTGGCTTCGATTCAGATGAGATTGTCCTCTTTAAGTTTTGTGTGGGCTCCTGTCAGTCTTCAAGAACGACCTATGACCTGGCCCTCAAAGCTCTGCTGGAAAACGGCTCGCTGCCTCGTCGCACAGCCCGCAAGGTCAGCAGCCACCCCTGCTGCCGCCCTGACCGGTACGAGCCGGTTTCCTTCATGGACGCGCAGACCACGTGGAGGACCATCCAGTCTCTGTCTGCTGCTAGCTGCATGTGTGTGGGCTGAAGAGCCAAACGGAAACGAGGACGGTGTCTCCGCTCAGGGAACTCCCCGATGGGGCGCTGCTGCACACCGCTCACAGGAAGTGGTCGCGGGCAGGGGAGGAGGGTCTTCAGGGATTCTCCAAGCGGACTTGTGAATCCATGTTTTGATTTTTGAGACAAACTGCTGGTGAATGCAGCTCTTCCCAGAAGCAGCTTTGTTTTTCCGTCACACACTCATGAACACGTGTGTGTGTGTGTGTGTGTGTGTGTGTGTGTGTTCGGGTGAACTCAGCTGAATGGATGCCATGCATCTTCATGTATTACTGTGTAAAAGTAAGATGTGTATTTATTTCTGATAAGTTATTTATTTATTCTGGCTTCATGTGGGAGCTGATTTATAAACTATGATGCAGATAAATAGAAGTATTTATTACCACCTGTCCCCGTCGCTACACCTGTTATAACTAGTTTATTACACTCGCCCAGAAACACGAGTCAGATCCAGCAGTCTGAAGAATAAGGTCACGATACAGCTGTGGCCAGAGGTTTAGAGGGCTGGGATCTCGCTGGACACACGGGCGGCGACACACCACCAGCCCGCTGACGACCTGACCCGCGGCAGCGACGCGCTCCAGGGCGAAAGGCCCGGCCGGTTCTGCTCGGCCGTCAGACTGGAGGGAGTGTTGGTATTAAAGCAGTTGGGAGTTGGTAGAGATGAAGGTGTGACTGGAGGTCAGTGAAGTCTGTTATTCCACGTAGAAACACGTGGATGGCTTCGTCTCGTATCACGGAGAACGACCACACCAACAACCTGCTCACCAACAAGTCCCCGTGCTGCTGCCTCTGGTCAAGCTCTGGGAAATGCCACATGACAACAAGTACCTTCTCCTCCATGTTTGCACTGAGAAGCATCCCGTCTGCTCATTGGTCAGTCAGTGAAACCTCCGCTGATTGGTCCTTGTCCAAGCGACAGCGATGGCAATAGAACATTTTCAACTTCCTGGGGTCGCGTCGCTGACTCGCCTGAGCACGACACACACGAGCGTTCACACGCACGTTTTTAGCGTGTCGCTGAGCAGGAGGGAGACCCACGATTATCGCTTTGTCGCACATCTCGTATAAACGAAGGGAGAGGCCATGTCGCCCCCGTGTGTCGAGCCCATAAGTTTGCTGCTTGAGTGTTTTTGGATTTGTGTTTATCAGATGTTTCCATGGTTACTGAAGTATGGCTGCAGCGTTTCAGAAGTTTCAAAGGTTTTTATTGACCATAACATGAAGTTTAGAGTCTGTGTCTTTCCAGACCACTGTGGTCCACCCTGACCTGCAGGTCCACATCCTGACTGATGGAGCTGCTTCCCCATCATCCATGTTGGAGTCGTGCTTGTCCTCCCTCCTCTGGAGAATGGACCACAAGTTCTCAGGGGGTGTAAGGTCTGGGCAGTTTCCTGGACCTGGACCCAACATGTTAATGTTCTGGTTCTGATCCATTTAGTTCTGACTTTACACTTCAGCCCAGCAGGCTGGAGGGTTCATCACCCAGCTGCAGTTGGAGGAGTTCCTCTGGGAGGATGTTTAGGTTCCATTCTTTCTCTATGGCTGTTCCAAGGCTAAACTGGGAGTGGGTCCACTCCCCTGGCTCAAAAGTACTACTACCCCCCCCCCCCCCCCCACACACACACACACACACACACATGGTCTCAGTACACTTTACTGGTAGAGGACACAGGACTGATGGAAACACTCATCTGTTCTTCTCTAGAAGCTCCAAACTGTCATGAAGGAGATCCATCTGATAAGATGTCCTTAGCAGTCTGATCTCTGGACCTTCAGCAGGACATCAGTCTGATCGTGGAGGAGGAGAGAGTTGGCCTCTTTGCTGTCCTTGACACCAGAACGTTCTCCAGAAGGCTCCTTCTCGCTGAGCTACAGATGTTGTTGTTCTCACACCGGTGGAGCCCTGATCCCTCAGCTGGAACAGCTGTAGGTCCTGATGCTTTCTTGAAATCCCAAACCGTTCTTCTCAACTACTGAATGTCTCTGTTTGAAGTTCTTGATCATATGAATGTTTGTTTAGAGGAAATCTCACCAGCAGCATGGTCCAGCAGCAGATGGGGAGATGTTTAGAGTCTAAACTTTTGACCACGGCTGTAGATCTCTCACCAGTGCCTTTCTCAGGATCATCCTTCTGACAGTTGATTGATTTTGTAAGTTCATGTTTTGAAAAAAGGAACTGTAAGAGATCGTCCTCTCACTCCTGGCCCTCACATGAAGCTTTATTCATATCTGATGTTCTTTATTTTTGTATGGCATTATCCTGTAAGAGAATAAAGTTGTTAAACTAGACATTCACCTGTGTGTGAAACATCTCAGCTGGCTCTGGTCTCCACGGCTTTGTGGTTGATGGTATAACTGGTGCTACAGCGCCCCCTGCTAGCCTAAACCAGCAGCACAGCCCACCGGGCCTCAGCCAGCAGTCAGAGGTCCTGGACTGGTTAGTGTGCAGCCAGAGCACACCCCAGAAAGCCCACACATGCAGGAGGAGAGCATGCTGAGTCCACACAAAGGCTGCAGCCAGGATTCAAACTTGCAACCTTTCTACTGCGAGGCAACAGAGTTGGCAGCTGCATGGAGCCCAGCAGAACTCACAACATCAACACAGAACTTGTGATTGGGTTTTACTTTGTGAGCGAGCCGAGTCCGAACGAGTGCACAAGTTATCACAACGGGTCAGAAACGCTGTTTTAGGGAGAGGTCAGCTAAAACAGCCGATCATACGACGAGACTGGGTCAGACACCTTCACACACTCAGCGTCAGCTGGGGTTTGTACCCGTGGGGTGTGATGGTCGGGTGGCCTTCAGGGATCAGACCTTCCGTCCCAGCCCTGCTCCTCTCAGCTGTGAGGGTCTGAGTCCTTCAGCTCGGAGCATAAACCCAGCTCTGCCTGGCTCCTGGGTGGGTTTATGGGCCCTGACCTCAGCAGATTCACCACAATTAGCTTCAAATACGGTCAAAATAAAAGCTTCGATTAATGCCACACTTCTGAAGTTAAACCAGAATATTTAGAACAAAACCCAAATACTAATGTTACATCTAAGCATGTCGCTCAAATGTATAAAAGTACATCCAGATAATGAAGGCGATAGTCAACAAATCACATCAGAGGAGATCTCGGACTGCTTTTATTTAGTTAGAAATGTTCTCTAGGCTTAGTTTCACGTGTTTAGGTTCACCTGAACATCCGTGTGGTTAAACCGCTCTCATCACCTTCTTGTGACTTTAGGCTCATGTGAACGTTTAGATGTTGATAAGCAGCTCGCCGTTACCCTCATAGTGAGCCAGATGTGACCAAATATCACCACTATTGTTACTTTTTGGCACACTCGTGTGAAGTTGTGAGGCTGATGTTTGATCTGGCAGGTTGGGATTCGCACCTGCGGACTGTTGTGCGGCTGGAGCTCGGGGTGCTGAACGTGCAGGTAACGACGTCCCTCCTGATGTGCGCCACGCCGCCGGTGCGCCCTGGGGACACCTTCTCCTCCCCCTCCCGTCTCACCTCCTCCTCGCAGCCGATGACCGTGGTCGACTCCACGCTGAACGGGTGGAAGTTGGCTCGCGCCGTGTCGTACTCCCACGCCTGTTTCAGGGTGAAGTCTGTGAAAGAGGCGTTCTTGTTGGACGCCGCGTCGTTCCTGTAGCTGGCCGTGCGTAATGACGCGTAGCTGGTGTCGTTACTGTGTAGAGATGGGGGGGAGTTTTGACCCCCCACCCAGTCCTTGTCCTCCCGGCCGTCCCTAGCCCAGACCACCGCTCTCTTTAGCCTCCGGCAGCCCTTCAGCAGCAGGTTCTTCCGACATAAAATGTAGACCCAGGGGTCCAAGATGGGATTGAAGGAGGCGAACCGGATGGCCAACAAGTCGCTGCTGTAGTCCGGCTCTCCCCCAGCGGAGATGTAGGAGGGGTCGTAGAGCTGGTTCACAAAGATCCTCACCTGTCAGACAGACATAACAAACATTATTATAACAACGACCTCTTTAGTCACGAGGCCGAAACGTAAATGACCCCTACCACTAACGGGATGGAGCAGACCAGGAACACGATGGTCATGAAGATCAGAAGCCAGAACATCTGGATCTCAGCGGCCGAGGTGACAGCCTGCAGCCGGGGGAAGCGACGCCGGGACCCGCTCTGCTCACACAGCTCGGTCCGAACGATCCCCGTCCTCTGACTCATCCCCACCAGGGACCCGCACACCGCCAGGTTGCACAGAACCGTCACAGCAATCAGCAGCAGCATGACGCCGCCGTACAGGAAAGAGTAGCAGGCTCCGAGCGCATCCACCGATCTCCAGTCCAGAAAGCACCAAGTCCCAGGGAAGTGCCGCACGTGCTGACCGAAGCCGAAGCTGGGCATGATGCACAGCACAATGTTGGCCAGATAGGTGACCAGGAGCGCGAAGCGTGCCATTGTTCTGTCTATGTGCTTAGAGTAGAAATACGCGTGGTTTATGGCCAGGTACCGCTCCACGGCCATTGCGCAGAGGATGGACATCCCCGCTGAGCCGAAGAAGAGCATGGAAAAGGAGAAGAAGTGGCAGAGCAGCGCTCCTCCGGGCCAGCGGCTGGACACGTATGTAGCGATGACCACCGGACTAGTGAAGCACGTCCCCAACAGGTCCGTGATGGCCATCCCGCAAACCAAAGTATAGAAGGTAGTTTCTTTCTGCTCCTTCTTGGAGACACACAGCACCACTATGGCGACGAGGTTTCCCAGGACTCCCACGGCGAACATGGTGGCTGAAGTGGCCAAAGACCTGGACTCGAGCCGGAGCGCAGGGAAGGAGCTGATGTTCTGGCTTAGCGGGAGAGGCTGCAGCAACTCCCCGAAGGCAGCAGTCTCATTCATCATCATTAAAACTAACCCAGCACGTGCTCTAAGGGCAGCGGGGCTGACGCGCGCAAACCCTGGCAGCGCCGAGCAAGACTCAGAGGAAACATCGGCAAAACCAAATCATCTGGCGCCTGACGGAGCGGAAAGTGCGCAGACTGAGTTCCAGCAGCTCGCGGGTCTCTGCTCACCCGCATCAAGGTCCCGCGGCGCCTCTTTCTCTACGCTCTGTGTTGCGGGGGTTTAAAGCTCTTGCTGATGTCAGGGCGGTGACGTGCGGGATGTGCGCGCGACCCGACAGGTTTCCACTCCTGCAGCTGAAATGGAATAAATGTTCACATGGGCTCGGCGCCTGCTTCACCACAGACGTCAGATCGCGACAGGATGAGAGCAACGTTTGCTTCAGGAGAAAGTACAGCAGTTATCAGGTTTATTAGATCAGCTCTAGTCTGTTCCGGTAAATAACCAACAGAATGCTTCATGTAAACAGGTAAGCATGCTCAGGGTCTTGGTGAGGCTGAAACACACTGCCTGGTGTCAAACCAATCAGAAACAGACTTGTGTCACAAAGGCCCACTTCAGCACCAAGGTCAGCGCCTGCCATTCAAACACAGCACATCCTGAGACTCCGAGTTCAGAAGACAGGATGCTAACCGGAACTAGAAAGACTCAGGGACGTTTGTGTTTACAGACCAAAATAAACAGACGTCAATAGGATGTGTGAAATTCTGTCAGGTGAAACCATCCACACCCATGAGCGTTTGTGGACCAGTAAGGTTCTTACATGAACAGCTAAACGTTACAAACATAACCCGAGTGAATTCAAACCTGGGTGACATTTTCTATTTAATAAAGCAAAGTTTGCTAACTGGTTTTCAACACGAGGTGTCTCTGATGACAGCTTCTGTGGAGAGCTGTTGTCCTGCTCTTCATCTCACTTTCTGCCCCCAGCCTAGACAGCCCAAGGTGATAGAAAACAGTTTATTCTAAAAACTTGCAGGGGCGCAACTACCTACTTTCAGAGGCGTATGCAGACACACAAAAGGCATGAACCCATTGAAAAAGTTCAATTCAAGTTTATTTATATAGCTTCAAATCATGACAAGAGTCGTCTCAAGGACCTTCACATAGTAAACACTCCAATCCAGGTCAGGTCATTAAGCCAGTCAGTAACATGTTTCCTATATAAGGAACCCAGCAGGTCGCATCAAGTCACTGACTAGTGTCAGAGTCTTTACAGCAATCCTCATACTAAAAAAGCAAGCATGTAGCGACATTTATCCTAGTGAATCTGTAATTAAACAGGTAAACTAGTAGTAGCACATTCAATTTCAAAGAGAGTAAAATGTTATTATTATTTATTATGTGAAGTGCCTTGAGACGACTCTTCTCGTGATTTGGTGCTATATAAATAAACTTGAATTGAATTATTATGAGGAGAGGGAGAACGTTTAAGTGGTTAGCAGCAGTGTGACCTCTCTTTTAATTCTCATCAGAACTCTAGTTGCAGCATTTTGGACAAGCTGAAGACTTTTAACCACATTCTGTGGACTTCCTGAGAGTAATTCAATTCAATTCAATTCAAGTTTATTTATAAAGCGCCAAATCACGACAAGAGTCGTCTCAAGGCACTTCACATAATAAACATTCCATTTCAGGTCAGTTCATTAAGCCAATCAGAAATAATGTTTCCTATATAAGGAACCCAGCAAATTGCATCAAGTCACTGACTAGTGTCAGTGACTATACAGCAACCCTCATACTAAGCAAGTATGCAGCGACAGTGGAGAGGAAAACTCCCTTTTAACAGGAAGAAACCTCCAGAGAATCCTGGCTCAGTATAAGCAGCCATCCTCCACGACTCACTGGGGATGGAGAAGACAGAGCACGCACACACACACACACACACACACACACACACACACACACACACACACACACACACACACACACACACACACACACACACACACACACACACACACACACACACACACACACACACACACAAGTAATGTGTCTATAGTTATATTGTGATTTCTTAGTAAATATTGTATTTGGTGAGAGATAAACTTTATTGTATTTATCCTAGTGGAACTATAATTAAACGGGTAAACTAGTAGTAGCACATCCAACGTCAAGGAAAGCAAAAAGTTATTATCAGGAGAGGGAGAATGTTTAAGTGGTTAGCAGCAGTGTGCTAGTCGATGGCCCCCTCCATGAGGCCACCACAGCTCAGCAGAACATCATTGTAGCTTCTTCTGGGGAGAAAAACACTAAGAGAGAAAATAAAGTTAACAGCTGAAATAGCAGGAAATAATACAGTTAAAGAGCAGATAGTAGAAGAAAGTAGTAGAGTGTGAAAAGTGGTCAGTGTATCCTCCAGCAGTCTAAGCCTATAGCAGCATAACTACAGAGATAACTCTGGATAACCTATCCTATTTAGATGGAGGCATGTTGGAGGCAGGGCAAGGGAGAGCCGTCTTTACCGACTGTACACTCCACCTCCCTCTACTCCCCCACTTGTCCAGATCAAGGCTAACATCAGATTTTAACCATAGGCCCTATCAAATAAAAATGTTTTAAGCCTATTCTTAAAAGTAGACCAAGTGTCTGCCTCACGGACTAAAGCTGGGAGCTGGTTCCACAGGAGAGGAGCCTGATAACTAAAAGATCTGCCTCCCGTCCTAATTTTAGATATTCTTGGAACCACCAGTACACCTGCAGTCTGAGAGCGAAGTGCTCGGTTAGGAACATATGGAACAATCAGATTACTGATGTATGATGGAGCTTGATTATTAAGAGCTTTATATGTGAGAAGAAGGATCTTAAAACCTATTCTGAATTTAACAGGCAGTCATTGTAGGGAAGCTAAGACAGGAGAGATATGATCTCTCTTTTTAATTCTCATCAGAACTCTAGCTGCAGCATTTTGGACAAGCTGAAGACTTTTAACTACATTCTGTGGACTTCCTGAGAGTAATGGATTACAGTAATCCAGTCTTGATGTAATAAATGCATGAACTAGTTTTTCAGCATCACTCCTGGAAAGGATGCTTCTAATCTTAGCAATATTCCGAAGGTGGAAAAAGGAAATCCTACAAACCTGTTTAACCTGGGATTTGAATGACATGTCCTGGTCAAAGATAACACCAACGTTCCTTACTTTGTTCTCTGAGATTAATTTAATGCCATTCAGGTCAGGTGATTGGGTAAGCAATTTCCTTTTCTGGATTTCTGGTCCAAAGATGAGAACTTCCGTCTTGTCTTGATTTAAAAGCAAGAAGTTTAGAGTCATCCAACTTTTTATGTCCTCAAGACAAGCCTGTAATCTACCCAACCGATTAGGTTCATCAGGGTTAATGGATAAATATAACTGAGTATCGTCAGCATAACAGTGGAAGTTTATCCCATGCTGTCTAATGATTTTACCAATTGGGAGCATATATATAAATAGTAAAAAGAATTGTCCAAGCACTGAACCCTGTGGTACTCCGCAAGTAACCCTGGAGTATGAAGACGATTTGTCAAGTACATTTACAAAATGAAATCTGTCAGACAGGTAGGATTTAAACCAGCCTAACGCTGTTCCTTTGATCCCTACAACATGTTCAAGTCTTTCTAAAAGAACATTGTGATCAACTGTGTCAAAGGCAGCACTGAGATCTAACAAGACTAGAACAGACACAAGATTCTTATCTGAGGCCATGAGAATATCATTTGTAACTCTCACTAATGCAGTTTCAGTGCTGTGATACTCTCTAAAACCAGACTGAAATTCCTCAAACAGAGCATTAGTGTTTAAATGCTCACATACTTGGATGGCCACTATTTTCTCCAGGACTTTGGATAAAAATGGAAGGTTAGATATTGGTCTATAATTCATTGGGTCATCTGGATCCAGAGAAGGCTTCTTAAGTGAAGGTTTGATTACAGCAACCTTAAAATCTTGTGGTACATACCCATTTACTAAGGATAGATTGATTATTATTTTTTTTTAAATCTTTTATTTTCATTTATTGACATTAAAATAAAAATACAATCAGAACTAAATTGCTGCAAGCCAAAATGAAAAAGGGGACAGAAAGAAGAAAAACTTATGTTGTCTGCCCCTTTTAACTAAAATAGCATTAATACAAATGAAATAATCATATGACTCTTAAGGAAATTGAACAATATAGTTCCTGGACTTGTTGGCCGACAAAATCTCAACCCATGAATTTGAGAAAAAAATAGAAAAAGAAAACAAGTTACACAGAAAGAAGCATTAAGTTACAGATCTATATACATACATATATACACATAAAAGCACATACTAGGTTAATATTTTGTTCCTTTAATCCCCCCCACCCCCTCCCCTCACACATTTATGTAACGGATCTATATAAGTTAATCGTTTTATTTTTTATCTCTTTTTTGAAAGTCAATATTGTTTTTGCATTCTTGAGTTCAGTATTCAATTTATTCCACAATTTAACTCCATATATGGAGACACAATGTTCCTTTACGAGTATCCGATGTCTAGGTATATTAAATAATTCATGTCCCTTTAAATCATATTTGCTATGTCTTTTTGAAAATCGTTTAATTAATCCTGCAGGTACGTTCCTTTTGTTTGCATTATACATAAATTTTAAAATATTGTAGTCCACCAGATCATAGAATTTTAGTGTTTTTAATTTAATAAATAATGGATTGGATGGATCTCTGTAGTTGCTCCTTGTGATTATTCTTATTGCTTTTTTCTGTAAGATGTAAATGGAATTTGTGTAAGTTTTATATGTTGTTCCCCAGATTTCAATGCAGTAGTTCAGGTACGGTATGATCAGTGAGTTATATAACAAATATAATGAATTATTATCAAGCAACCCTTTTGCTCTATGTAACAGTGCAATCGTTTTAGATATTTTAGTTTTGACACTGTTTATATGTAGTTTCCATGACAGTTTTTCATCAATGATGACTCCCAGATACTTGACTTCTTGAACTCTTTTAATATTAATCTCATCTATATTTAATAAAATTTCATCATTTGAATTTGTATTACTAAATATCATAAAACAGGATTTATCACTGTTTAATGATAGTTTGTTTCCATCAAACCATAGTTTAATTTTTTTCATCTCTGCTTGTATCACTTCTATCATCTGCTCAACATTATCTCCTGAATAGTAAAAAGTTGTATCATCTGCAAATAAGGTGCATTTTAATATATTGGATGCCTCAACAATGTCATTTATATAAATGATAAATAGTTTAGGGCCTAATACCGACCCTTGTGGTACACCACAAGTAATGTTATTTATATGTGATTTTGTGTTGTTTATTTGAACATATTGCTGCCTATCGGTAA